ACTCATGTAATCAACTTGTTAACATGATTCTACTTGATTGATTTGGGAAGCTCATGGCCCTCATCTGGAATTATCTTTCTGCCTTCTTGATTAATAGGGATAAAAGTATAAATATAAAAATTCTTAACGGGTTAACGGTTTATCCGATTAGGAAATTGAGTAATCCGTCACCAAATCGTTAAGCCATAAATTATAAAATTTTAATCCGTTCACCAACCGTTACTCCGATAACCCGATACCAATAAGCCAATAAGCTATTTTTTCAGTTCGGTTAACGGTTACGGTTCGATTTTAAACAATCCTAAAAATAAGTGATTTTCTTACTTATTTTTCTTATGTTTATTTAGGTAGTAGAAAATATTATTTAGAAAATATATAATTGAGACAAACACTACGGGAGACGAAATGGGTAAGAGTATGGGAGGGTGGTAGGTCGGGGTCTAGGAATCGGCGTGGCGGTGGAGAGGGTACGGGGGGAGTGGGGGAAAGAGGCGAGGGTACGTAGGGGTTTGGGCATGGGGGTCTGTGTGAGGGGTAGAGTAGGGGTTGGGGTTGGGTGGGGGTAGGGATAAGGGCTGGAGAATGGGTGAGGAATAGCGTGGGAAAGGTTAAAAAAGAATTTTGAAAAATATTTTTCCTCCTTTTAGTTAAGGAAGTTATTTTCTGAAGGAAAATGAGTTAATCATGAGGAATATATTTTACAGAACATTTAATTCAACCAAACATGAAAAAGCTTTCGTTCGTACCAAACACACCCTATGCATACAAGTTATCTAACCCTAAGAAATCCCTAACAAATGTGCAAAAAGATTACTAGAGATCCTAGTTTCCTAGTATCCTACCATATATTTACATTGCCTTCGGTTTTATGACTCAAATATCATTGCTTCAGAAAACTGGCAGATTTATGGATAACATTGCGGTTGACTGCTCCCCTTTTGCAGCTCGCAGATAACTGTTGCAGTTTGCAGAATACGCCGCCTAATATAATGAACTATATTTAAGTAATAAAAATTATTTTAAAATATTGTCATACATTTATTTGTTTGGTACTTATTAATAAATAAAATAGTTTAAAACGCATTATCACAAAACTAAAAATTAAATAAGAACTCTTTTACCTGTTCATTCTAGATATGCACACATATTCTCAGGTGAATCATATTCATTTCTAACTTGAGTATGTTAAAATATTTTCCTACTGAATGATAATGAAAGTTGAAACGAAAACCTCTGTCTATTGCGATAACATCTTGTATGATGTAAATTAGCTCCGTTTTAAAACTTCGCCTACTTGAGGGTGTGGGTATTTTTATTTGTATTATAGATCTGCAACTAATGGATTAAGCTGTTTTGAAATTGGACGAGTTCCCCACAGTTATATTCTTTCAACATCTCTATCTTTAGCAAACAAAATTATGATTAATGTTACTTTCTTTCATACCCAAAAAAAAAGTATTTAAGAGAACCTTCACTTACGATACAAGCTGTGGTTGGTTCTGCCCGTCATATATGTAGACTAACCTAACTTTTGAGTCTTTTGATCATATGATGAATGAGACTTTTGCTTTTCATAAGCTCTTTTCTTATCACTGGACCTTTTTTTTATGGTCTTTTGAAATTCTAAAGTGTGGCTGCCCCAAAGCTAAAAAGCGATCCATAAAAAAAAAAAAAAAAAAAAAAAAGTTGCGCAAATTAGGCTTAAAAGATTTAGTGGAGATTTGTCTCTCCCCTTTTATCCTTGACCTCATTTTTCTAAAAAGACCTAAATTTGGAATAGGAGAGTCAATGATACAACTTTTACAAGCAAAAACAATGCCCAATTTATTGGATTCTGCCACTAGCAGAAGACAGGTAAAACCATGACATTCTAGAATATTCATTGATCATTCAACTTCTACATTTGTCTATTAAAAGCTCTTTCGAATATGTAATGCAAATTGATATTTTAGCGAAGAGTCACGAATGAGAGAAAATATACGATGAAGTTGACGTGAAAATATTGGTGTAACATGGGTTTTCTGTTTCCAATTAATGAATAGTGTATGATCATGCTTATTAATATTGTCTTTTGACACTCGATGAGTAGAGTTATCATATATCGATAGCAGAAACATAATAGAATGGGAAAGAGACAATAAAAGACAAAGCGAAAAGGATCCGAGATATCAGTGTCCCTTTGCTCACTGAAAAGAAAGATTCTTTAGCAAGAACACGATAGTGGAAATGGATCCGAAGTCGGCAACATGGTATTCTTACTATTTAGAGAATGAACTACTTTTCCTTTGATTTTCATTTTCCCATGAATTTTTAAATATTTTATAAAAAAAACACCTCTCAGTTTTATACGTTTTAGGGATAAAGATCAAAACTATCCTTATACTATCTTTCAACAATATTGACATTCGTTAAACTTTTAGGGATCATTTGATACGCGGACTAAATTATTTTTGAATTATAGTCCTGAAATTATAATCCCTGAACTAATTTATTCCACCTAAGAAGTGAGATAAAATAATCTCAAGTTTGATGGGATAAGGTAGGTGGGATATAATTTATACGGAAAAGGTCCAAATATGCCCTTATACTATATGAAATTGAGCACATTTGCCCTTCGTTAATACTTTAGCTCAAATATGCCCTTAGCGTCACATAGTTGGTCCATATATGCCCTTAGAATTACACAGTTGGCTCATATATGCCCTTTTCGAAACGGAATCCACCCAAACTAATTAGCTCTTTCGGTAATTGTATTAAAGTGTATTACAAACACTATTTCCTTTTTATTAGTACTTTTTTTCTTTACCTTTCTCTTTTCTTTCTTTTTTTTTCTTTTCTTCTCATTTTTTTTCCTTTTTCTTTCTCCCTTATCTGATTTCCTCCATTAATGATGTCTTCTCCATTTTCATCACCAATTTCACTTGACAAAACTCATGAATTCCAATTACTAAGAAAATTCTCCCATAAGAATATTTTTATAGATCATATGTTTGTCAATTTTTTAATTTTTACTGAACATATATTTAGTTCTAAAAAATTTAACAAAGTAAGATTGAAATAATATTTATGTAACAAAAAATATGAAAATCCAACAAAACCGAACAATCCAAACCGATATAATTGGTTTGGTTTGATTTTGATAAAAATCGAACCAACCCGTTCCATGTACACCCCTAATCTACATAGTTAATAAAAAATATAGAAAATGTCCAACTGAAAAAAGACTAACAACTCAAATTTATAACACTACAACTTGAACTCTAGATTTTTAATCATTAAATTATCTTTCTGGAAACAATTTAAATATTTTGATCTTTTGAGTATTGTTAAAGGTTGAGATATTTTTATTATTTTAAAGTTTAAACCATAATTTTTGGAATAATTTAATTTCGTTTATTTAGAGGGCCAGTAAAATTGGAACTTGATTACCTTATGGGAGAATTTTCTTAGTAATTGGAATTCATGAGTTTTGTCAAGTGAAATTGGTGATGAAAATGGAGAAGACATGAGTAATGGAGGAAACGAATAAGGGAGAAAGAAAAAGGGAAAAAAAGAGAAGAAAAGAAAACAGAAGAAAGAAAAGAGAAAGGTAAAGAAAAAAAAGTACTAATAAAAAGAAAATAGTGTTTGTAATACACTTTAATATAATTAAAGAAAGAGCTAATTAGTTTGGGTGAATTCCGTTTCGAAAAAGGCATATATGGGCCAATTGTGTAACTCTAACGGCATATATGGACCAACTATGTGACGGTAAGGACATATTTGAGCTAAAGTATTAACGAAGGACAATTGTGCTCAATTTCATATAGTACAAGGGCATATTTGGACCTTTGCCCTAATTTATATTGTGTTTGGTTGACGGTATAAATTTATCCTAGGATAAACTTATACCGTCAACCAAACAAAATATGTATTTAATCACTTTATCCCACCTTATCCCGCGTACCAAACAACCCTAGGCTAATACTATCCCCACCCTTAGGCAAAAGTCTTCTGTTGCCAAGCTATTGACTCCTCGCGAAGTTCAAGAAGGGTAATCATAACCATAATCAAAAGTTACAGAAGTAAACTTGGACATGTAGAATCAAACTCATTTTACACTCGAACTCCATCAAATACAGAGACAATTAGCTCCAACAACAATAACAATATCCCAGTGAAAATCTCACAAGTGAGGTCTGGCAGCCTTAACCCTACCCTAGGAGGGCAGAGATTGGCTAAAGAAGAGAGATAGTTAGCTAACAACAAGAATAAAAATGGATCAAGTGTAACGTATTGCAAAATATCGATGCCTGACTTCACTAGAAAAAATAAATACTTGGACTCTTGTACTCTAAACCATATCATCCTTTTGGGAGATAAACTCTCAACGAAACATTTTTTAATTTGATATTGCAGATACACCTCTTTCATGTATTTTTGGTAATAATGGATCTTGGCTAAAAGGTAAATGCATTTACAAAAGCTGATAAATTGCCACCACTTAGAATGGTACTGTTGGACGTGTCATCCATAAATATTTTTTATGGATCGCATAAATCACTTCCCGTCCAACATCAGATGCTTACTGCTTCCTAAATAAGGTGCACATGCCAAACCAAAAACGTTATCATTCTTAGCATCTTGACTTCATCTTACATTATCAAAAGGAACTACACCATACTATCACTCATCAGGTAACTCAATGACACAGATTCGCATAATCGCAGAGCATACTAATGTGACGCACATTCCCTCTTCTCCACCCAAAAAAGCAAATTGGAAGACAAAGTAGATTATGTGAAATGTCATAATCTTTTGAAGTATAGTTCAGCACACTGGAAGGGTTAGAAGATCAGACGTCTTTCATGGACAAAGTGGGTGAGATGATAAGGAGGTTCTCACATAAGCTAACAATTCAAAGCTCCTTTTCATCCAATAAGGAAGGTAATGGCAGGTTTTTCAATACAGGGCTCGTTACGTCCAAGAATGAAAGGATCTATTAGCATAAGGAGCGCCAGTTTAGCAAAATATGAATACATATATTACCAGGATTTCATGTCAAACAACTATTTGATCTCATTTCTAGCCTAGTATATACAAGAATATCTAGCCATGATGAGCAGAATTCCTAGCATTGTACATATAGACATCCTTTGACTGCTGATGAAGGATCACCTTCAAGCTCAATGGGAAGGACAAATCAGAAAAGACCACACCAACACTCATCAAACCTTCTCTTCTTATTACCCAAAGCTGCTGGTTAAACACTAAGCCTGGAGATTAGAGCCTTTGAAAGAGGGGGAGCACACAAATGACCACAACACACCATGCAGTAAGTCACTAAAGCTGAATGAAGGGATCAACGTTATCAGTGTCATTACCAACTATAAGGAAGTCCGTTTTTTATATTACATATTCTGGTGATTTTCAACAGTTGTACCATGCACTAAAATCTACTTCAACAGGTGAATTCACCTTCTTGGCAATCTTTAGTTAGTCCAAAGGCAATTCTGCATGGAAAAATAAACAGGCGTATTATGCAATATGTGACGTAACAGGTACCACACTGCTCTGCTCTTGGTTAAGAACAAGAAGGATACGAAAAGGATAAATACCATGTCAAATAAACCTTTGTAAGGTGTTGCTCACCGATCAAAAGGGGGGCAGACTAACAGAATACGCCACTGAAAAGGATACAGAGGCACTTTTTATTAATACTTCAATTGCCTTGCTTGTAATGAATACCACATTTCCACACAGTACCAATGCCCCATTTCATTACACATTGAACTAACATTTCCACACAGTGCTAATGTCCCACGCAGAATAACTCTTGGGATTTCACAAACAGAAGCGCCCACATAAACCCTTCAATTACTCAACAAACATTTGCTGAATAAACTAGAGACTCATAAACCCATCCAAAAAAGATTGTCCAAAAAGAGAAACTAAAACTTACCATTCAAATATTACACATGCACACCCCAGGCATTAAAAAGTTCAAAAGACTTGGTTACAAAATTAGAGCCTTATAACAACTGCAAAGTCATTTCGATTGCACGCAAAAAGATAATTTCTCTATATCTGGGGTGCTTCCAAAGGAAGAGAAACACGCATTTAGCATCAAATGGTATATATATGTTGTAAATAGTAATAAGCTATAATACCAGTAAGCTCGCATATACAGATGTTCATTTTGGATACCAGTTCAAAGGTGAAGAATGGTGCAGAGACTGAACTTCAGAAGTGAAACATGCATTAACCATCAAATGGTATATGTTGCATACATATAGAAACAAGCTTTAACATCACTAAGATCAGATATACAGATATTCACTACGGATACCTGTTCAAAGGTGAAAGTTCAGCATGGTACAGAAACTGAAAATGAAGCTGCTTTATCAAATCCAACCATTCAATATTCACATGCCAAAGTAATTTCCAAACATTGTCTTGTTTAAACTTCCTAGAGTGCCTTAAATACAAAATTCCAGAAACTGGACAGGAAGCTGCTTTTCTTAATCCGATATGTGCATTTTGTTGGAGTCCCTTCAGGGACATCCAATAAACTAAGTGCATCCTACAGTTCAATATCACATGCTAAAGTATTCAGCTAATTGTCTCTTGTTTAGCCTTTCTACAATAACTGAAAACAAACTAACTACATTACCATCCGATTCCATCTTTGTTTCCCCTATCACACCTCTAAAGATAAATACAGAATAATTTTGGGGGGGGGGTTACGCCTGTTAGTAGTAGCTGGGAATACTCAATTCACACTTTAGGCTGCCACAATCACTTTTGTTGCAATCTTAACAAACTCCTTCTTCCTTCTATCCCAAAAAAGTGAATATTGTAACATAGACAAGTGCATTAACCATCTATTTAAGAAATGGTCCATCCAACTATTAACCATCCTGAAAAGGAGCAAAATACTTGCCAGACTGGTTACACAGCACCAGTCTTAACTGTTGGTAAATTATATTCAGGGTCTTAACATTGAGAGATTCAATGCAAGTTTAATGTGGAGTGAAGTTCCTACTTCCAATATTCAATGAGGTAACATGGATTTCCTGATATCCTTATTTTCCTTCTTCTCCTTTTCCTTCTGATATTGTTCTTGTCTCTTTTATTGTCTAGAGAACAAAAGAAGGGAAGATTAACGCACGTATCAGAGAGGACTTCAATCAAGTGCGGCACTAGAAGCTACGTTATAAAGCTGAATCAGTTTACATCAGGTTTCTTTAAATCAAGGTTTACATCAGGTTTCTTTTAATGATAACTCTACCAACCAATTAGTGAACAGATTTACCAAGCCTGTTGTTCAAGATGATGTTGTCATGCACCCTAAGGTGCTTGAGCAAAAAGTTAGACAATTTGCTCATGCAATTCCTTCACGGAGTTTTGCTTCCGTTTTAAGGCTTTAAACTCCAGTTTACCCTCTCACCTACGAATATGTCCAAAAGGAACAAGTATCATATTGCCAATTCTCAGAGCCATTCTGCCTAAGCTTTCATAATCTAAGTTGGATAAAATCCTTATTCCATGAGATACTTGGTCAGTGGTATACTCCATTTTAAACGGTCAAAGACATCTTCTGTGGATCAAAGTTCAGTGACATAACTAAGAATCTTAAATATATTTAATCCACATATGAGAGATTATTCTACAATAATGAAAACCAAAAGCTAAGGGATCGCACATCATTGATTGCTTGTGTTGCTTTTCTTGTTTAAATGATCTCAACTGCGCTCCAATATGGATAAGAAACTTCAGTCCTTTTCCAACTATCCTTTGGCAGCAACTTTCACCTTTAATTCTCCAGCGTACATGTAGGGCAAGGTAGTCAAATTTGTATACTCTATACTCATCTTAGTATAGAATCAGACATTGGGATAATATGCATGTTGAGTTTGCGCCATAACTAGCCTGATATTTCTCTTTCCACTTCCATATTTTACCTCTTGACGTTTTAATCTGTTGAGACGATCTACTCCTTGGCACTTAAAAAAAATATGTATCCAGTTAAAAAGACAAGGAATAGTTTTTATGGCTTTTAAGGAAGAGAAATACTAATTAGATACCTAATTAAAGCACACAAAGTATACCTGTTTCAGATGCATATGCAGCTTCTTTAACATTGAAAAGATAGTTGAATGAGTCTGTTTTTTAAGTTGGTAATTTTGGAAAAGGAAAACAAAGTTTAATTATATAAAGCAAAGTCACATATGCACAACAATTGTGGTGGCATCTGATCAGCTGTGAACTCTACGGAACAATCTTGCCCATGTGAAGAAAATAGATTGAAACAAAAGGGCATGCCAATGAAGTTCTTCAGTTAATGTGAAGAAAATAGATTGAAACAAAAGGGCATGCCAATGAAGTTCTTCAGTTAATGTGAAGAAAATAGATTGAAACAAAAGGGCATGCCAATGAAGTTCTTCAATTAATGGGATATAGCAGGAAACTAACTTCTGTACCTCAGATTTTTCACAATACTAAGTAAAGGATCCCTCGAAATTCTCAACTGCAAAGTCGGAGGATTAAACAAATGATAGAACCACACGCCATATTTCAGCCGGCTACCTTTATTGCACCAATCTCATCAATCTTTGAGCTCTTGTGCTGCAATATTTCAGCATGTGATAACAGCAGAATTAGTTATAGGTGCTAGTATAAGACCACCAATGCAACTTGATCAGAACAAAACACTTGAGACTTTCTGGATACTTGTTTGGTTAAGATCATTTGCAAGTTTTTCAAAAAAAAAAAAAGAAAGAAAGAAAGAAATCCGACAAAAAAGTGTGGTTAATTTTTGAAAATTTTAAAAATTTTGAATAAAATAATACTCCCTCCATTTCAGTTTATATGACACACTCTCCTTATTAGTCAATTCCAAAAAGAATGACACATTTCTATATTTGGAAACAAATCAACTTTAAACTTATCATTTTTCCCATTTTACCCTTAATGAGAAGCTTTTTAGCCCCACACACACGTCATTGCCCCACAAAGTTTTGTACCCCTTACGCTTTTAACACCACAGGTTTCAAAAGTCCTTTTTTTTTCATTAGCTCCGTACCGAGTGAAACTACCTCATATAAATTGAAACGGAGGGAGTACACTAGCTTACACTCACACAATTACAACCAAAACAAATCACTGCCCAGACACTTTTCTCGCACAAATATTTCCTCAAAAATAGAGCTCCAAGGAAAACACTTCAATAAAGTTGTTCAAAAATCATATGAATGCAAAAATCATTCAGTTCTACCTTGCTTCTCTTGTGTTTGTGAACGTCATTAAGATCCTCTCCATCATGCTTCCTTTTCTGGGATCAATTAAAATATCATAATCAGTCGCCGCTATAAATACAACAGCTTTCAATTCTGTGAAGTACCACTGTTGCTTCTTGCTAAAGTTCTAAACTCGTGCAAATATTGGTGATTTTCAACAAGCAGCTCAAGAAGAAGGTAGATAAGCATCACCGAACAAGAACATAAAATGGCAAGGGAAAAAAAACAAGTTTCGCAAATAAAAGTTTACAAAGTCAACCTCTCATCTAATTCAGTACGTTGACAAAACGATGAGGTTAACAGATTCAAAGTTCAGGTTACCGCGATAGGTTAGGAGAGAGAGGATAGCTTGAGTCATATCAAAGCTGCAGCAGCAAGAAAGAGTTTTATGCTGATGTGAAAGTGTCTTAATAAACTAAACAGTCTAAACCATACATCAAACACAACTTTTTGCCTCATTAACCAAAAAGCCGGGCAACAGTTCATTTCACAGGGTCCTGGTCTCATTTTTCAAGAAAGATAAACCTTTATGTCCTTGACTTTCTCCCTGCGATCCTATAAAGGCAACTGACAACACAAAAGGATAACGAACTCAATAGCATCATATGATCCAGTGAAATTCAAGCAAGAGTAACTTTCAGCAAAGTTCAAATGTCACAAACGACAAAGTAAAATTTTATCATCTTTAGACAATGCTATTAAGAAAAGACAAATATTTAGCAAATTAATTTGAAAGAGCTGTTCTTTGAACCATTCATCTAAACTATTTCATATTAAAAAAGCATATGACGTGTATAGTAAGAATCAACACATTGCACCAAATATCTCAAGGTTGACAAGAGGGGGTTGCTCAGATGGTCAGCACCCACCACCTACAACCCCAGGGTCGTGGGTTTCGAGCCACCAAAGGAGAAATAGCTCCAACAAAGGGGGGCCAAAGGGGAATCAAAGGGGAGGGAAAAAAATATCGCAAGGTTTTGCTAGTAGCAGACCTTCTCATGATGTTTCTTCGAATGATCAGCACCAGAATCATGATGACCACTTTTATCTCTCTTTTTCTCTTTATCCTTGTCTTTGCTTCGATCTTTATGCCGATGTTTGTGTTTCTTATGCTCTTTGTCCTTCTCCTTGTCCTTATCTTTGTGCTTTTTATGCTTCTTATCCTTGTCTTTCGACTCACTTTTAGATTTTCCAGCTACAGTTGGGACGCCTTTCTCAGACTATGAAAAAAAAAGTTAAAACATTACTTAAAAGACGCTGACACAAACGAAATATTGTCGCTCAAGCTTCACTCAGTAAATTTCTTACAGGAGGCAGAACAACTGGAGCCGCTTCACGTAGTTGAAAAGCTTCTCCAAGAACATCTAGGTCAAATGGCTGGATGCGGGAACTCGTCTCTCTTGACAAGGAAGTTTCCTGTATAAGCTGATCCAACTGCATCCCTTCCCCTTTCCTAATTTCTGTGTCTCCCACCACATTGTGAAGATAGTGAGTATCTGAAATAGACAACGGAAGTGACCTCTTGCAGAAGAACTCGTGATGAGGCAACAATTTGAAGTGACTGATAAGATCCACAGCACCTGCAAGTTCTCTGGGCCCTGGTGGTGCATTTTGACCAAATCAAAAACAGTTATAAACTAATTCTTGATTAAAAACAATAGGCATTTTAAAGAGAACCACATTAGAACCTGAATTTTAATTCATCATCAGAATATCAATAGATAAATCTAAGCCCTTTGAGAAACCCGATACTCTTTAGCAGTCCAGTATCTTTCCAGCACCTCACATGTGACTAAAATATCAACTACCTTTGCTAAAATTTAATCAACTTTGGCTTATAATAGTCACAATGATCCCGAACTTAAAGAATTTTAATCTGACAGCTAACACCATCCAGATGATGAAGGAAAATGCTTGAGAATACATTGCTCTGTGATATAAACTTCTACAAAATCTTATTCTATGATAAACAATTACGCCACATGTAAAGCCCCAAGGATAACATTAGCATTACTAGTCCTTTATCTTTCTCCCAAATGAACAAAGACAGATGTGTCCTTGTGCTGCAGAAGAACCACACAAAAATGAGAAAGCAGTAAAAGATCATTTCTACATCCGGAAAGAGATAACTGGCCCACACAACGAGGATTGCAAAAGCAGATAAATCAGCCAGCTGCAGATTTGAGCAAGATACTGACCAAATGAAGCATTTTACTGTAAATCAGAACCTAGCTATGCAAATAAAGACCCTCACAATATCAAATATCTGCAGTAGTCAATGCAGGGCAACATGCAAAAAGACTTTATGTTACAATTCTGTTTCAAAGGGAACAAAATGCTGTAAGGGTCTTACCTCTTCCAAAACTCTTGCTATCAGGATCCATCAATTAGCAACAAGTACGTGGGTACAGCATTATCTCCTGAAAAGTGTTGATAGGTTAGTAAAAGTTCAAAACTATCTTTTCTGGGAACATCAAGAGTACAGCACTGGAATTAAAACAAAATGGATTGAATAAGCAGAAATTAAAAGATATAACAGTAATGTTGGGACCACCATACAGAACAAGGAGGTATTAAAAGGGTTCATCAACCTTTTTGGTATCTTGTCCAAAGAAAAGCAACCCGATGCTCTCATTTTGCATAAGCTCTACTGGTCTAACATAACCAAAATATGAAGTGTGGGGAAAAAGAATGCGACAAAACAAAGCTAAATCCAGAACAAAATTACAACCTTCTTTGGTGAAGCTAAATAGAGAATTCAGAATGTGGGTTCACGCAGAGATACATTCTTTCAGTTTCTAAAGCTCCACCTTCCAGGGGGTTGGGAAGTCTTACAGAGGACATCCACCGATACTTCGAAAAAGAAAGTGGAATAAAATGAAACTAAGAAACCAAAATCTACTAAGAGATGAAGTAGGCAAAAAATAATCAATATTCGGCACTATGCTTTTCACAAGATGTAGCAGGTTCTTTCTTTTTTAGATAAGTAAGGAGGCACGTTGTACCTAAGCAATGATGTCCACATCTACAATGGTAAGGCAGAAGAGAAAGATGAAAAAAGGAAGTGGTACTGGATGTCCAATCAGATTGTTAATGGGGAAACCAGGAAAAGTTCCCCCCATAAAAGAGAGAGAGGAATAAGAGAGAAAGCTACTTGTTTTTTGGAGACAATCACAAGGACAGGAATTGCAAACGATCAAGACATCAAAATTTTATACAAAATTAACAATGACATAGTTCCCAATTGCAAAAGATTGATAATTTCTTTTCCTTTTAATAATTAAATACCACATCATCTAAGCAGTGGAAGTACATGATACAACATTTTATTCTAAGCTTGAAATATGCCTGTCATCAAAACATGCAAAAACTGATACCCCACTAAACAACTCCTGATAGAGATTTTCTGCACTGCAAATATCTCACTAACAAAAAGCAGATGTGCAAACTCTTGGTGAACATCACTCAAAGAAATTGATTTTTCAATCATTCTCTCTTCATTCCGTATTCCTTTTCAACAGCTAACAGCAATTGTCACATTCCTCATTCAGCAAAATCTCATACTTACAAACTTCAATTAGCTAAAACCTCATTGCTATGTTTGTAGAAATTCATTGTGCATCAGAGATGTCTCCCAAGAAATAGCAGATTATCAGCCTAAGTCAACATTTACAGACTATTACTTCACAAATATTACAGGATCAAGCAATTTAAGTTTTGACCAATAGCCATCACAGTACTCGCGCAACTTACCAGAACAATAAGACTACTAAAAGGAATAAGGTTAATTAAAGGATAAGCGGAGAGTTGAACTCCGAACACCAACCAAAGTAGATAATTCCTGCCCTCCCTCAAATTCATTCACCACCTCCGCTACCAAAGTTCCCAAATTTAACATACAGAATATACGCAGTACTAAAAAATTTGGATACACACCAAAAGTTCAATAATTTTAAAACAAAATAGAACGTGGACGTTCCAAATCTCTAGTCATTTAACATATTTCTCTCACCAAGGAAACATCTTGATCTCAGAATTTAAACATCAATATAACCATTGGAACACATAATACGAGCAAAATTTCCAACTAGGAAAAAGGAGCTTACTCGATGAAACAGAGAGATCCAAGAGGTAAATGTGAGCTTCGCGATGCACAAATTCCAATCAAATATGCTCCAGAAGCAAGCAATTCAACTCAGGAATTAGGGTTTTAGCAATTGACCACAAGGCTTCGTCTTCGAATAAATAATTTGTTTCTGATACGCTCGTTCTTGAACTGAAATAAACCCTAATTCCTGTTTGGCATAAAATAGTTGAATAACGATTGGCTCAGGAAAGAAGAAAACGGACTTCTCGCTTTTGCTTCTATGATGATACTGTCAACCTTATTATATTATTATTGTAATTGTAATATTTTATTCTTAGATACTTTTCCTAAATTTCTAATTTGACGTTAACTGCCCCTGATCTGGACTATGTTGGAGGGAGCTTTCCGTCATTTCAGAGTACCATTGATGACGACGACTGACAGTTCTCCATGAAAGGAGGAAATAGAGGCCATGGGTTGGGCAGAAAATCTGTTTTTCTTAAACAAAATAGATGATAAATCGAATGTGATAAAATTATGTTGAATTGAGAATTTGAGAGATTTTATTTATTGGATTTGTTCCACGCAAATTTGGTTCAATCGAGCCCGTGAATATCTATAAAAAAAATTGTGCAAATTTGGTTCTATAAAAAAGAAACATTGTAACCTAAATACTCCGAATTAGCTGCTAGCAAGTACAATGTTCTGCCATTATAGAATGTTTGGGGATTATGTGTGACATTGTCTATCTGGTTTGAAGATTCTTATGACGCAATCATATTTCTGGTGGATATGCTACAAACTGAAGTAGATCAATGACCACACATAAAGGGGGAAATTTATATGAATATAGTATGACCTCTAAATTTTTTTCTTTAACCTATATATATATATATATAATATGCCAGCGTTAATATAGCGTAAAATTGGGGCATCGGCGTGATTTTGAAACTCACTTCAAAATAGAGATATATACTGTTAAAATCGAGCCCACCCAATTTTTCTGTTTGACCGGGACCAGGGAGCTGCATCGAAGGTCGGCCCCGTAGCGGATCAGACCAAGGTACGAGGACAAGGTACCAAGTTCGAGATTCGAGGTACCTGTCGAGATCGAGGCCAGCAGCGATCGAGACCGAATGAGACAGGCATCGAGCAAGATCGAAGATAACATAATAACGGAAAGGCGAAATATCCATAACTAATCGAAGATCATGGCGGAAATCTCGGAACGGATCAAATTAGGAACGGTTAATTAGCTAATCATAGGATTTACTTCTGTAATTAGAGTTATACCATAAGTAGAATTCATCTACTATATAAAGGGGAGTATTAACCATTTGTAAGATATATTGTTCTCGCATAAAAAGGCCAATATAACGCTCTCTCTTTAGCTTATACTCTCTTGTTCATCAGCTTGCTTTATTTTTAACTGTTTTGGTATCAATCAGTTCGAAGGCACCCTAGCTCGAGGGTTGAATTCCGTTTATTTTATAGTTCATTTCTGTTATTAATCTTCACATTTATCAATTGGTATTAGGTGAAATCACGTGTCCTTAAAACCACATTATAAGTTTAATTATTATCCAATTTTAAGGGTAAACAAGAGATATATCGATTTTGGAGAGGTCCTAAATTATTTTTCTATTGTAGTTGATATCTAGCATACTCATTACAAGCTCATTTAATTCTTGATATTTTTTCCTGAGCTGAAAGTTTTTATTTGTTATGCCAGACTATTAATGTACATTTAATAATATATTGCAGAACTTATTGAGCTCTTAAATTGGATGCTTATCTAAATAATGGCTCGGTTCCATGTCTTTTTACTTGCATGAATGACCTTTTCTCTGATAGTCTACTAACAGTGGTTTGAGTATTTTATGAGTATTAATTGTTGATTTATTGTATTATTAGATGCACAAAATATTACTATAATATTCGTTGCTCTTTAGTCCCTATATATAGGATTCATTCGGATGATTCCACATTTAATTTTTTTTTTTTTTTGGTTACAAATAACACTTACCCCTCCCCCAAACAGGTTTTGGGGTAATTTATGTTTTGCCATGACAATTATGTTGTTTAATGGCCTCAATCCTTCAAGTGATGGTTTGGCTGTAAGGACCTGGATATTTGTATGCTCTCTAATGTTGCTCTTCTTTGTTAATACATCTATTTTTCTTTCAGTATCGTCACGACTTTACCTACAACTTCTCGTGACAATCTCTTAATTATATTTCTTTTTTTATTCCAAACTTTTTATTCTCTAATTTATATAATGGCAGTTTTCATATATGGATTTTTATGATTATTGTACCAGAGGAACTTGATGCACACAAATATTTATATTGATCATATTGACCAAGTATCGTCGTGTTCCCGTGAAGGTTGTATATATCATATTATATATTTTACGGTCGTGTCTAACTGTCACGACTCAAAATTACGTGACCGATATTTGGTACACTATCCGACCTGAGTGAACCAACTCTAATATTCATCTATATACCTAATAGATGCATGTAGAAGCCTTTTTAAAACACAATCATTTTAGATGAGAAACAAAATCTTTAAATCAATTATTTTCAATAAATAAAAATATGTAAGGATAACAATATTTCTTTCATGTATGCCTAATGAATACACCCCAAAAGATAATAACTGTTTATGGAATCTCTAAGACATGAAAATAAAGTAAATACCTGGGATAATTTTTGATTAAAAGAAAATAAGGATAACATGACAATTACCACGAAATAGAAGTGGTGCCTCATCATATACCTCAGAAAGAGAGTTCGCTTTGCCCTGTTTGCTCATCATGTACCACATCTTATCCTGAAACATGCAAAGTAAGCGGAACCCTGAAGAAGGGCCCTTGAGTGCTGAATACACCACCACGATACTCAATAAGTGTCATTAACTCTCTCTAACTGGAGTTTCTGGAACAAGACTTTATAAAACATATGCAACCGATATTTTATTTAAAGCGGTAAACAATTACATTAATTCATACTCTTTATCATTTTAAATTAAAAAAATTAATAAAAACCACGATATAAACTTTTAAAATATTTGTATCAACCCATAATTCTAATAAAAATCATACAAAATTATTTTAGTATAATCAAGTCGTTCAAATCACTTTCTGCTCCTTAGGCATAAGCATAAGAAAATTATTTTTACCTTTCACTGGAATATTATACTGATACCGATATAAACAACCACTAGGTAGTGTTTGACTCTACTTGTTCGGGCGGCTTTCCGTAGTACTATAAGAGTCGACTTAACCTCATTACTTTAAGTAAAAAATTAATTATCCTCGCAATGGAAAAATTTATCCCGTAAACCTCGGCTTAGCCTTGGAATATGTCCCTATACCGGTACATATGGTTTCATGGTAATGAACTAAAGATTCGAATCAATCTCGACAGTCTCCACTAGTAACATCCAAACTATTATTTCAAAAATAGATTCATAGTCAAATAACTTCAAAAATTTATTTTATCAAATCATGACGTTTATAATCAATCCAAACCATTCGAACAAAATCAAAATAAAATCCTTTCTCATTTTATATTAAAACAATTGACAAAATGAGACTTTCAATTTAAAGATTTAACAAGTAATATTTCCAACAGTTTAACAGCTCAGCATATAGAGAATATATGTATTTATCACCAAAGGATTATCAACATCAGCATATAGAGAAGATATGCATTAATAATCAAATTAATGTGCACATGTTAACATATAGTGAAGATATGTACCGTGCCTTCACTTTTTAGTCAAAATAACATATAGAGAATATATGCATAAAGAGGCATGTATACATTCCTAGACTATAATATAGAGAAGATATGCGATAAAATCATGTATACATCCACGGTGTTTGCAAATAGAGAAAAGATGCAAAAATCAAATATTGATCAGTTTTTCTCACACCGTGGGTACGTCATCAAGAGAAACTTGAGAGGACGATCTTAGGGGGATGGAACACGATGCACGAACAACTCACGTGCCATAATATAATAATCGCATGGACCACTCACGTGCTATCATAACTCAAAACGCACGGACACTCACGTGCTATCAATCCAGTCCATATCACACAGAAAGCATATACAAGAATATATGTATACAAATAATGGATATCAAATCACAAACTCATGGACTGATAAAAGTAACATGCTAAGGTGTATGCATGTGCGAAGCGTGCTACCATAGCTCATATTAGGCGAATATGCCACAAAATAGCAATTATCATGGTTAAACAGGAAATCAACCTACACATGATCTCTAGCATGATTCAACTAGCTTACAAAGGGGTACACACATATGAAGCATAATAGCAAAAAGCTTAGTATTCAATACAAGGCATAACATAGCCTAAGAACTGCCCCGAGCATGGATAAAATCCGATGCACGCACGCATGCCCATCCCCCCGTTTGTGCATCACCCCCGACACGTATCCATTATCACAATTCAAGCAACTAGTACCCCAAACCAAATATAGACAAGATACTTACCTCAACAAGCCAAATCAATACTCCAGAAATGCCTTCCGTCGCGAATAACGGCTCGAATCTAGCTAAAAATAACTCAATAACGTCAAAGTAAGCTATAGGAATCAATTTCAAACAATAAAGCTTCAATCTTTATTCAATTCACAAAAAGTCAACAAAAGTCAACCCGAGCCTACATGGTCAAAACCTGAATCCAGGGGTAGATCCCGACTATCGATAACCTTACGAGTCCAAATATGTGATTAAATTTTAAAATCAAGTCCTAAACAACCCTCAAATCCTCAAAAGTCGTCTTCTTATGTTGTAGACAAAAATCTCAATTTTCCTCTTTTAAATTCGTGTTCCAAGTGCACAAATCTATGGGGATTGAGATGCATAATCAAATCCAAGTAGAAAATACTTACCCTCAAAGTAGTGATGAAAAACTCTCCAAAAATCGCCTCTAGCTGAGCCCCAAAACTCCAAATAATGAAAAATATACCAAATCCTCAAAATATAAGTCTACCAAGCGATTTTCGCATCTGCGGACTAATCTATCGCATTTGCAATGCCACTTCTGCGAGCCCATTCTCGCATCTGCGAATGTCACTTACTCATCACGCCTTCGCATATGCGACCAAATCTTCCGCATCTGTGGAACCATAGGTGCGGCACCAAAATCCGCATCTACTCAACTCCTCAGCCTGCCTATCCTTGCAGGCATGTACAACAACTCCGCAGGTGCGACTTTGAACCTGTGCCCCTTCTCCGCAGAAGCGACCCTTCACATGATTAGCCAACTTTGCATCTGCGCCTTCGCATCTGTGATCAAACCTCCACAGGTGTGATGCACCAGAACCAGAACTGCCAAACCATTTTCAAATGGTCTGAAACGAATATGAAACACACCCGAGCCCTCCGGGACCCCGTCCAATCATACCAACAAGTCTGATTGCCTAATCCAAACTTGTTCCAAGGCTCAACACATCAAAATAACATCTAAAATTCCGAATCACACATCAAAACTCATGTTACATAACTCTTAAGTTTAAGAACTTCAGAACTTCAAACCAAGCGTTTGATTCAAGCCCAACCAATCCGGATAACATCTAAACTTTGCACACAAGTTTCAAATGACAAAGCAAATCTACTACAAGTTTCAGAACAACAATCCGAATTCGACATCATCAAAGTCAACTCCCGGTCAAACCTATAAACTCTCCAAACCTCCATATTGCCAACTTTCGGCAAATAGAGCCAAAATATCCTAGGA